ATGAACATCAGACTTGAATATTATCGGCCGCGTGTTCGTTCGTCGGTTCGTTCGTTCACACAGGGCGGCGGTCTCATCATCAAGGGCCGGGCGGAGGAAATGCGCCGGACCGGGAGAAGATATACCTGGGGACGTGACGTGACGCGGCTACCGAGGAGGGAGGCCGCGTGGCGCCTGGGGGTGAAGGTGGGGGGGGTCTTCTCCCTTGAATGTTCTCAGGTAACTTTTCCTTTAGGCTTTTGCGTCTTGTCACCGTATGCAGGCGCCATGTGTGTCCCCTGATGTACTTAGTATGCGGAATAGAAGCGAGACCGGTTTTGCGTCTTTTTCTCATGGCCGTCGTCTATCTCGTTGTTAAGCAGACGGTCGTGCCCGGCTGCTTTGTGATTTATGGGCCCGGCGCCTTTGCTTGTGGCACGGGCTGGTAGGTTATTTCCATTCTAGGAGGGTGTTCGTTCTTTTTTATGAGAACGGATATTCGCACCCACTAAAACGGCTAGTATACCTAAAGATATACCCCTAGTACACCAATCTTAATCTATACTATTATATACTTCCTTACCCTTTTATTATAGCTTTTAGTTTAATAGTTTATTACTTCTTACCTTATTATTACTTAAAGTGCTCTAGTGAGTCCTTAAGTATTTAAATCTCCTTCTAAGTTTTCTTTTTATTACTAATAAGGTTCTTTATAGTTAAGTTAACCTATAGGAGTTAGTTAATAGTTTTATAAGCCTTTATATAGGGCTTTTTAGCTGCTAGCCTAGGTATTAATGCCGTCGTTACTTTAACTACTAGTGAGTTAGTAGGAGGGTATTTAGTGGGCGGGTGGTTAAGGCTGTAAAAAGTATTTTAGGTAGGTAGTTAAAGTAACGTTAAATAGAGCCCTCTAATTGGTTACAGCCCTTATAGGGCCCCTAGTAGCTAGTTTGTATGGGTGTACTAGCCGTTTTAGCGGGTATAAATATCCGTTCTCTTTTTATAGGTTGTGTTTTACGTGAGTGCAGCGGTAGTAACTACCTAGGCATTATGGGAGGAGTCTGCTAGGGTCTTCTTTCCCCTCCCCCCTGCTACTGTCATCGAGTTGACTAGATGTTTGATTTAACCTTGTGTTGCTTCGCGAGAGTGGTATGCCAGTGGGGCATATTACTTGCTAGGGGGTAGAACAACCTTCCTAGTTTGTTTTCGTTTTCTGGAATAGGTTGGTATAACAAGGCAAGCGGTTTCTTTTTCTTTTTCTTTTTTTTCTTTCTGAAATCGGTAGGCATGAGAAAGATGGAGCGAGTCCTGCCTCGCTGAGTGAGAAGCTACTGATGGGTGTTACATCACTGATTTGAATCGGGGGGTGTCCTTTTTGCATCGTTACTAATCTTCCAAGTAACTACGTATTTACTGCATGTGTGCAATCTTGGTGCAGAGCCATGGGTATCGTAGAAGCTCCTTCGAAGCCTTTTGCGTGGTTTCCGGGCCTCTTGTCTGTGGGCGCTCCGGATGAGGTCTCCATGTGAGGATTGGAGGGGACGGCTGGACCCTCGGGAGTTCTTGCGCAGGAACGGAGTGTGCTTTGTTGCGTTGTACTGTGATTCGGTTGCAGCTCCCTTCAACCTACCATCATTAGGATCTTTCTTGGATTGTTTTTTTTCGTCAGGCTTCAAAGCTGCGAATTTCACCCATCTATTTGCTGTATTCCCAGGCGGGCAGATCGCCTCTGTCGCATTTGATATCCGTTTGCTTCTTTCTGCTTTGGAACAACGAAACTGATCAGCCCGGATAACCATACCCAGTTGTAGCCGAATCTACAAACGAATTCACTTCATTTCAATTTAACTGGAGACAGACGCCATCTCAGAAACCTCCCCTGGAATTCATTGGCCATACAATCTCAACGATAACTACTCTTGATGGGCCGCCCGCGTTCAAAGCGTATTAAACCACACTCGACCAGGACGAGCCTCGCCCAGCTGGTCCTGCGCACCATTCAAGCGGGATCAGCCGCCTGGGTCTCTTCGATCGATAGCACAAGGCGAGATTCATGGATAATTATTCCTTGGTCAAAGATTGGGCACCGCAACGCGTCACATCAAAAGGCAGTATCAAGTTCTCGGCAGAAGATAATACCAAAGATGTACTGAACTAGTGAGTCCGCTGCCCTCCAACCACGACCTACCTCCATAGGGTTTGGGTCCGCGCAGTACCTAACGAGTGCAAACTTTGAGCAACGCCGGAGAGAGGAGGCGAGCAGTTAGGACTTGCCCCCGAGTAAGCACTCGGCAGATGGATTCTTTGGCATGCCCCGAGTCTCCATCGAGGAACCTGCCTGCCTTGATGGACAGGTGGGAAGAGTGCGCGACGTGGTGTGACTCAGAAACCGCATTGGTATTATTACGTCTGTGTCGGGAGACTTCACCCGGAAACAGCGGTGCGGCTAGGAACCATAACCATCTTGACGTCGGCATGGCTGTAACATCCGTGACCTCCCGCCCCTCAACGAGGTCAATTAATACCCTCTACTTGGAGAGATGATCCTCAGTAGCCAACTGGACTCTGCAAATCCTGGCAGCTTCTCCCTTACTACGGGCTCGAGCGTGGCACACAGCAACGGCGTGGCAGCACGAGGTTCTTCCAACAGGACAGGCTCAACATGGGCGGCGCCCATGACAAAGGGCGTTTCACAAATATGCAATCAACGTCCTGAATGACAGGTTCAAGTCCAAGTTGGCCTCGACGATGCCCGGACCATGGGTAATATCAAACCTGCACCAAGCCCGTCGAACGACCTCGTGCTGTCCGTGTATGCGAATCAAGCCAACTGACTTATCTTCGTGCTGGACAGGAAGAAAGCCTTCGAAATATGCCACTGGGATACCTGATGAAGCACGGTGACACTTGAGGTTGATCAATGGTGGTATCGACGTAGCGGGAGGAGAGAATTGATGCTCGAAACCCTGGCACGCCTGGGAGGACGACGGTGGATGTGATGCTTTTAAAGGTCCTTCTGCTCGCAAGACACTGTTGAAATATCCAAGCACGCTTGCTCCCAGTTGTGTTCAAGTTTCTGGGACGCGCCCGGTCTTTTCCTATTTTATTTTAGAGGTGTGTGTGTGTATGTGTGTGAGAAGGGTGAGATAAAGCATCCAGGGGGCTGCTTATCGAATATCTAGTGTTGGGAAAATAGGTAGCAAATGAGTATAATTAGCGCAGTAGTGGCGTGATAATAATATATTCATGATTAAAAAGCTGCCAATTATTACACTTTCCTCTTTCTTGACCACTTGTAATTTCGTTTCTAATCCCTATATATGTAACATATATATAGCGCGCCTTCATATAGCAGTAAATGCTCAAGACCTAGAGTTTTTTAAAAAAGAAACACAGTGCCAATAGTACAGAGAGAATATAGTATGTGGGCAGGTGGCCTCAGCCGCGTTCCGCACAGACAAGTCTGGAAGGTATCACTCCCGACGGCGCCGCTCACTTCTTGACCCCTTCTTACTAATCCTTTTCCCCTTCTTTCACAGAAATTTGCTATTCCCTTAAAAATTAACCAAGCTGTTGACTAAGATAAGTGTGTATGCTACTTGGAAGCTATTTTTGCGTGACTGGTTGGGTGCCTGGTGGGAGTTGTGATAATTGATTCGTGACAACTGTGTACCTGGGCATGGTTTTATGACATGCCTAGAGACTGAAATACAGGATCAAATCAGTTACCCATATGCTGCCGTCCAGAACAGCATCCGAGATTGGCAGAAACTGTGTGGACACGCGGCGTGTTATATCCTCAAAGATTGACCTATGTCCCTTCTTATGTCAGCTCCATCGTGATCTCGTGAGATACGAATAGACTATTTGTGTATAACATCGGGAGACTTTTGTGAGCTGCGCTCTGTGCCGCAGGTGCTGGCCTCTGGAACAAATCTTCCATGCTTAGGTACTCGAGGCTACTCTCCCCATATATGAAGTCACAGCCCTTTTCACACGCACCGATTCCTAGGAGATGGATAAACACTACTCCATCAATGGCGTGTGCACGTTCGGGTAATCCTCCGGCCCGTCGCATTCGCCTAATACAGTCTTCTTAACATATCTTCCTTGAATGTCTGGGTACCCTAGGGTACCATATGCCAATTTTCGGGGACCGAAAAGCGGTTCAAGAAATGCGGATTCCCACACAGACTCCATGCTTGAGTCAGCCTTTCCGGTTTTTTCGATTTTATGGATACCCACACGTAAAACTCCTTGACAACTTTATCGTGTCCAAGGTAGGGGTAAGGATCCGGGGGATAGTAATGCCCAGCCGGGCACTTGAACTTCTCCATGCCTGGGGGATGCTTGTGTTGCTTCGGGCCCCAGTACCACGGAACTTTCCTGAAAGAAAATGTGTGGCTACATTAATATTATACAAAACCAATGAATCATACATGCTCCAACGCCTACAAAAGTGCAATGCGTGGCTCCCCAGACATAATGAGACATCTAGTAGCTACCATAGGCCATAGACTCGACCCGCCGGTGTCAGGCCAAGCCCTCGCTAATCAATGCTGGACGCTGTAGATTAGTTCCCTAGGCTTTCTGTTTCGCCGCCTGCGCGCCTTGTGTGTTTCAGGGTCTCCCGTAAATCGGGTTCCACAATTGGTCTTACCGCTGCTTATATTGCCGCCAGCATACAGTACTGTATGTCATGCATCACAAGAGCACAGACGTGGCTGACTCTCGGAAAGTGTGGGGGCAGGGGAAGTATCGCAATCGCAATCGTGTGATATCTACTAGTCGGATCTGTTCAACAGATCTAGGCCAGTCCAGGCTATAGACCTCTGACTATTCGTACCGAGGTAGCTATGGGCATCTTGTTGCTTGTGCGGTCGGATGACTGTTTACCCTCGCCAGAAAAGCTTTCACCACGAGCCACGAGGGCCTCGATCAGAGCGTCGTTTTCAGTTACATGGTCTGAGTTCATCCTATATACAAGTATCTATGAAGCCTATGTACATGCGGAAACCAGTTCAACAAGGTTGGCTGCGGTTACTCTCTGGGTCCCCCATCCAGCTGGTCTCCCCAATCGCCGGCCCGACTTTTGTAGGAGTTGTTGCCACCATCAAAGGCTGTGCCACCGCCGCCGTGTCATCCGTTGCCGATCTCGACACGGGGGCAGACTGTTGCGAGCGTCTGGCATAGGCGTTTGCGTAGGCGGGCTTCTTGTTAGAGGCTGAGTGTTCGTTCGAGGAAGTGAGCCAGTGCATCACAATCGCGGAGAAGAGTACTGACAATGGAAACACATGTTAGAATTATCTGGATGAGAAGGTCGAAAAACGTTCTGACTTACTGTCGCTGTTGCAGCACATCAGGCACAGCCAAGACTCTTCTCCATTGAGAGCCATTAAAACAGTCAAGTTCCTAAAATCTCGAGGCGTTAGTCATAATGCTTTGTGGGTAAGCCTGAATCACTCACGTGATGCTGCTCGCCAGCGTGCAACAAGAGCCGATAAACGTCTTCTTGGCCAGCTTCCTCAGTCTGACATTGGCCGGTGTCCTCTGAAATTGCATGCTCTGTAACATAGTCTCAAACGTCCCTGTTTTCAAGAATTCGGACCATTTGATCGTTGGCAAGCCTAGAGCTTCCATTAGGCATGTATACTTAGGTAGGCAATTTCAATTACTCACTCGTCAGTGGGACCAGGAATGACAGAGTCAGATATACCTGTGAATCTAAGTTAGTGCTTGTGCTATGACATGATAGCAGGGAAAAAGGACAACAGGCTTTTTGGGGGCGGACATACGTTGACCAAGGCGTCGAATGAAATCAATGGTATGATGACGGGCTTCTGTAGGCCAATAACACAGTGTCCCTTGTCAAACTCCGCAATATGCCTGTAAATGTGTCAGAATATGGTTTCCAGGTGGCTGGGGGAAAGAGACCGCGGGACCTTGATCGAAGAGTTCAGTATTGTGACTTACAAGACAAAATTCATAATCGTAATGATAACATAGATCCCTTGGTTATAAGTCAGACCATAGTACTCAAGCTTCGTCCCAAGATACGTACCAAGCATCCCAAAGGAGTTGAAGATATAAAGCTTGGACTTCAGACGTGGCTTTTTTGAGCCTCGCACAATGTGCTGTTCATGAACTATTAGTTAAGCGCTTGCGCGATTATGCGGGACTATTCAACATACCGCTCTGTCCACCAGGAACAGATAAATGAACTAGTGAACGGTTACACCAGGTCTTTGCATAAAATCGTTCATCATAAGCACTTACAACCTGTTGCGTGGTTAGATTTTGGTTGCGATTTGCTTTCAGAACTCAGCGGCACCTTACCTTGCTCGTCACATATGCGAACAAACATAATCCCATCGCAGCCGTGCAAGCTTGATCGTTGAAATTGGTTCCAACCCCAAACTGCAACACGGTGGATCCGAAGACGAAGACGAAGCTGAAGAAGTATACCGCAAGGACGACTATAAGGTCTCAGCAGGTTGCCACACTGGAAGTCGTGTTTCTCGTTGCCAGTGGTAGATCGAACGCACCCCACATGGTATATGGTAATAACCGCCAGTCCTTCACGGCTAACACTTTGCTTGCTGGACGAGATGGAAGACATTGTCAGAGGGACGGTTTGGCGACAGCACCGAGGTCAGAATCCGTATACGAACCTAGCAGAAACGCAATTAGGCAGCCGGAGACGAAGGCGATGGCGATGCTGAGCGTCCGGCCGTAAAGCGGAGGCTCATACCATCCGACGGGGTCGGGGCGCTGACCCGACGCCATGACGCTCAGGGCAGCGACGGCGAAAGATGGTCCTGACCTATCTTCGATTGCAGCTCACAAAAAAACAAGTTCCTGGGCTTAAACAAGATTCGGCGGCGCTGATGGGATTCGATCACAGCTGACGACCGCAATGATGGCCATGGGGAGGCACGGCATTATTTTGTGTGGGTGCTTCGGAACAGAAGTGGAAGTTCGGCAGGGCCAGCAACGAGCTCACCCGCCCAGACGAGCCCGAGAGCCACCACGTTCCCGACCGGGGAGAACGTCATATCTGGTGTGGTCAGAGCTGTACCAGAAAGCTTCAGGGTTACAGCACATATGTGATGCCATCTGATCGATCCCTACGGCAACATCGCACCCGCCGACCATGACTCGCATGGGAAGCCTTTTCACTGGGTAAACTTTTGCATCTCCTTGGGATGCTACATGCCAGGCATGCTTAGCCTGGGAGGCAGCTGGGAGGAGGCCCCCGGATGTGTGTGGCTGCCTCCCGCTGTGTGCTCGGCACAATGTGGGCGGGAGGGAAGTGGCTTGTTCCTGAGGCGGCGCGGAAGCCCTTGGAGGCACATTTAGCTTCGGCACATCATGCAATGTGACCTCGACGGTGCCGGGTTGGTAGCCGCCTCGGAGGGCATTTCGGAAACTAAATGTCGCGCACCCCGCAAGGGGGCTTAGCCGACTACTTCAAGGTTGCTCCCGCAATTGACATGTCCTTATTGCCTGATCCGATTGTCCCAGGGCTGCCCGGGATGGGTGCACTGTCCAGATATGGAACGGTCGAGAACTCCCAATCTGTTTTCAGCCTTCTACTTTCTTTTCCTCTTTTGGTCGGAGGCACCTCACGCCGTCCAACCAAAGCCTCCGGTACAATATCGCTCTGCCCGAAGTTGTTGCCCCTGGGGTCTAACACGCGTCTCGCCAATCTCGAGTCTATGCCCATGGGGCCACTGGGGCGCGCCCCTCTTCGATGTCACCTGAAGGTCGATCACACGGCACTTGCTTAGATTCGTCCCATACACTCTAATGCGCATAGGTGGACTCACTTGTTGCATGTTGCCATCTGGCAGTGGCTCTACAGAGTCATGAAAACTCTTTACAGACCAAACAACACATACCCAGACACGATGGGATCGGCCTCTGAAACCGCAAAGCACGGGTCACTTGTTCGTGCCGACAACAAGTCCTAAGAGTCGCTAATACCCTCGCTTTAAGCAGTCCGAACCTTCACGGTCGAGCTGGGGCCGTCAAGCCGGGGCCCAGAAGAATAGTACACTAAGGCAACATCGTGCATTGCCGGAGACGATAGGGCTACTTAGTCTGGACGAATGGAGCTTCTCACACGTGGAGGTCTAGCCCTCGGCCGGGTGACCGGAGCAAGACGTCCGAGCCATAAGCCTGCCGCGCCCGGGGGAGGAATGGCGTGATCTCGGTAGGACGAGTGCTTATCATCCTCACAGAGTCGCAGAGCGGTGGCATGGGGCTGGTGGTGTCAAAACAACAAGGCTCCTGCAACAGGACCGTGCCAGCAGAGTGGACGACCTCGACGCCGCGGGCAACAGGAACCACAACAGCGAGGCGCGGTCTTTCGATCGGTCGAGATGACTAGGAAACCAAGTCCAGAGCGATGCTCCCTCCGAAGCTCGGGCGCAATCAACAGCCCCGACTGAATCGATTCCTTTCCAAGGCATGTCCGGGGTGAAGACTACTATTTGCCACCCACTTTGAACGTCATCTGTCGGGCCATGGCAGGGTTTCTCGACTACTCTCTGGCTGTAAAATTGCCTACCGCGTGACTTGCGGTCGAGAGGATGACTGCGCGAGCAACAGCCTAGTCCTGCAGGTGGAAGCTTCCGAACTAGTGCTTTATATACTTAGTGTCTGAACGACCGGGGCCCTGGAGCATAGTAGTGTTGCAACAATGCAAATCTTGGACCAACATGTTCACCGATCGGAAGGCAAGGCGGGCTTGTAAAATGCACGAATACCTTACGGCTACTATTCTCCATCCGGGCTGTCACCGAGTGAAAGTCGGGCCATCCTTGCTGATCAGTTTACTAAATCGTGAACGTATACGGAATAGAAGCGAAACCAGTCACTAAATCGTCGACCAGAAACGACCATAAGTACGGTTTTTTCTGGTTCCCACTCCCACCCTCCATTTCTTTCAACAACACCAGTCTTGAGCGTTTACCACTGCGTGAAGGCGCCACATACATTTTATATGTATGGGGATTAGAAACGAAACCACTCAACAAAACCAGATCAGCGTGAACCTCACTGCAAGGTCGCTGAATTGCTGTTGCACTGCTATTGAATTAGAAATTGGAAATTCACGTACCTAAAATCGGAAGGTACATACCTAACTATAACTAAGCGGTACCTATATATATATATATATATAAATTTATCTTAATTAGAGCCTATTATAGTAATTAATAAGGTTATTATAAATAATTAATATTTAATAATATTAATATTTAATTAAATATTTTAATTATTATTATTAATAATAAAAGTTTTATAATAATTAGTTAATAATTTTTAATATACTTATATATAAAAGTATAAAAAATAAAAAAAATAAAAAATTAAAAATATGAAAATATAAAATATAAAATATAAAAATATAAAATATAAAAATATAAAATATAAAATATAAAAATATAAAAATATAAAAATATATAAATATATAAATATATAAATATATAAATATATAAATATATAAATATAATATATATATTATATTTTAAATTTAATTAATTAATATATATTTTAATATTTAATATAATAATTTTAAATTTATTTAAAACTATTTTAAAAACTATTTATAATATTAAAATAATTATAATTCTTTATTAATAATAATTAAAATAAAGTCTTTATATTATTATTATAAAATATATATTAAAGTCTTTTAAAATAAAATATTAAATTAAATAATAAATAATTAATTTAAAGTTATTTTTAAAATAAAACTTTTATATATATTTTATTAAAAGTTAATAATTTATTAAAATAAAAAAGTAAAAACTAATTTTTATATAAACTAATATATATATTATATTAAATAATAGTTTTATTAATTTTAAAATATTATCTTTATAATATTTTAAAACTTATAAATATTATATAATATAAAAATAAATATATCTATAATAAATATTTAAACTTTATTTATTAATTTATTTTTATAAAAGTTTAAAAATTAAAATTAAAATAATATTAATTTAATAATATTTATAAAAATAATTTAAAAGTTAAGATATTAATTAAAAATAATAAAATAACTTTTAAAAATTTAATTTAATTTTAATAAAATATTTATAAATATTAAAATAATTTAATAAATTTAAAATTAAAAATGATTAATTTAAACTTTAATTATTAATAAGAATAAAATTATAATAATAATATAAATTAAGTTAATATAAAAGAGTAGTTAAAGGAGAAAGTAGTTAGAATTAAAAGATTATTAAACTATAAGCTAGGTATATTAATTTAAGAGATTAAAGATTTACACTTATAAAATTAAAAGGTATACTTATATAAATATATACTTAAAATATTAATTAATTAAAGCACTATATTTAACTTTAATTAAATATTTATACTACCTATTATAATACTTTTATAACCTTACCTATATACTTTATTAAATACCTCTTTACTTACTTACTTTAATTACTAATTAATACTTCTTTAAACTTATAAATTTATATTACTATCTATTAATTTAACATTAAAAATACTCTTTAATTATTTAAAAACTAATTTAATACTTTTATAATAATAATATAAGTCTTAAACTATATAATAAGAAAAGTAGTAAAAACTTATAAAGTTTAAATAATAATAGGGATAAATAGAAGTAATGATAGGGACGAATTTAAAGTGATAGATATATAGAAAATAACTATACTTTTATATTAACTATAGCGAAGTAGTGGTGTAAGTTAACGTTAACATATAGGGTGTGTACCTATATGGGTGTACCCCCTAATTTTGTGGGTGTGAATCCTCGATCTCTAGTTAAGGGCCAGCTGAAGTTTTATTATTGGCCACTTTTGCTGCATTGCTTGCGGAGACGCACAAAGGCCTTCCCAAATCAATCAATTCCAACATTGCTAATCTCAATTCTGATAGCGCCAGTCGTGGGCTGCGTCCGTACTGCTTATTGAATCTCCGGTAAAGCCAAGACGAAATCCAAGGATATAACAAGGGCGTGTAGGCCCTCTTGCGGGGCATAACTATTGCTTCTGCTTGAGAAGTGAACGACTGGCCGGTTCGGATGACGAAGGACGACTTGGTCGAGTCGTGCATCACACCGCCTCATACTCCCTCTCCACATACTTAACATCTACAGGCTTCTCATTATTATACTCTTCTCCCCCAGACCTAATCTTCTCTAATTTCAAAGCCTTGGCCCTCTCCGCACCAATATTAGCCAGGTTCACACCCGACTTCCTTAATCTCTTAAACTTATTTATTAAGGTAGTATACTCTACCCTTTCCTCCTAATTTATTTTAAGCTTAAGAAATAGAAATATTAAATTATATACTTAAATAACACTTATAAATATTTTTATAACCTTATTATAATTAACTTACTTAACTTTTTTATTAAATTTTAATAGAAATTACTATTTAATAATAGTTTAAATAATAATTATTATTAAGAAAGTTAGGTTATTTAGTTAATATATTAAGTTAATAGTAGTAGTATATAAAGTTTTAAGTAATAGTTTATTTAATTAGATTAAGATTAAGTTTTAAATATTATTAATAAAAAACTATAAGAAGAAGGTATTAACTATAAGCTTTATAAAATATAGAAGGATGTATTTAAGGAGGATAGTACTATTAAAGATGTAGGTTATATATATTATTGGCTAGTGGTTGAAAAAGGTCCTAATATAGCTAAGGTTAGTACCGGTAATGAGCGCGCCTATTTAGCTAATAACATTGATTACTATTACGTTTGTTGGGTTGAGCTCCACCTCTATATGCTATTAGACTTGGTCTTTTCGTTGCTCGTGAGGGGTCTGGGAAGGGTATGTAGAGTAGGGAAAATCTCAACATGCGCGCTGAAGATAGAGAACGCTGGCTCGACGAAATGGACCAGATTCTCGACGGCTGGAGGTCACCACGACCACGTGGAGTTACTGATGTGGACTCTTAATTCGCTCAATTGGCTGTTTGTGCGCCATAATTAGCACAAAGGGAGCGAGCGATTGAATGGAAGATGCTGTTTTCAGTCATTCTAACTAGTACCGAACCTACCTAATCTACTTCCGGAATAAACTCTAGTCTTCAAACAATGTACTGACTTATGTAACCGACTTTTTATACCGAACAGCCAGAACTTGCTAATGCATTACTCCGTGGACTGTTTCGTCAACGACCAATTAATGTCGCCAACTCAGTGATACTGACGGATTCACACAATATGTCAACACCTGGTACAGTGGGGGAAGGAGGCACGAACGTAGACCCGGCGATGATACCACGGGACCGCGTCGATGCGGTACTCCGAGAACAGCTACAGAGAAGGTAGGTTTGCACTGACAGACCCCAGAACCCGGCCTCCTTGCTCATGCTTGAATCATAGCCATTCTTATTACGATGCCTTTCACCAAGGTCATCCGGAAGTATGGCGAGCTTTGGAAGACAAGGCGCCAGAACTCCTCCGCGGAGTGTTCACTATGATCCCTATCCCGAGGAAACAAACCGTTCCCGAGATTGAGACGCCAGAGAACGTGACCCGGCAGCCATATCACATGAATCCGTCTCGGAACATCGCCGCTGAGGTCCGTCGCCGACTAGATTCAGAGCTCCAAGACGGCACGCACCCAACGACCGAAGCTCTGGTTCCCTTAGGAATGCGATTCCTCAGAATTCTCGGCGCGGGGACCCAAGGGACGGCCGTTCTGTTCGAGATGGACGAGGCTGATGGTACAACAAAAAAGGTCGTGGCCAAATATGACACGTCGGGAGAGGATGACGATGAAGATGGGTTACTTGAGGAGAAAGAGTTGATGAGAGTAAGTGAATGCGGACACAATATTCAGTGCACTGTCGCTTTCAGATTTCTCTGTCACAATATCAATTGGCTCAACTTTGCAGCTCGATGGCTAACCTGGCCCATTTCTTCCCAGGCGATGGTTGGAGCAAGACATATCATTCAGAGGCAGTTCATACACGGTTACGATGTTGCAGTGGATGAAGAGAACTATTACGACGACCCAAACATGTACTTGATGGAATTTATGTAAGTTCTATGTACTGACTCATGTACACAATACACATAATTAGATTTCTATAATAGTCGTACTGAGCGCGAGGTATTAGGAAACATGGTACACTCGACAGGCTTCTACGCAAGATTTCGCTAAGCGACCCTAAGATACAGCTTAAGAGCAGCGACATATGGAGTGTCTTTCTTTGCCGTGAGTGAAGAGTCTGAGTCTTGGTCCCATTCACTGAATCATACTGAAAGCAACGACAGTGTTCCGAGCTTGTATCGCCATGTCGTACCCAGACTATTGGTCGGGCAATCTTGATGCCTTATGGGGTGATGTAGTACCGCTTGTTGAGGAACTGGTCCCTACGCGTCAAAATGGCAGTGCAAGATCCCCAAGGGATGACGCTATAGTAAACCTGGATATCAATTACAATAACGGTGAGTCATCTTTGTTTTCTCCTAGGAAGCATACATTAAGAGTCACATCCCAGTTATGATCGGTGACTATGATACGGATCCGGGTTCACATCCTCACGACGAGGTGCCTATCTTTAAGGTGATTATAAGTTTATATTATCTCCTTAGGATTTCCACCAAGTTTGACCCCCAATATGGGATCTGCATTATCCAACAGAAGAACACAGTACCACACAGCAGTGCCGGTTCCAGAGTAGGAACTCCAACTCGCAAACCTTTACATAATTCGAACACAGTTCTTCGAAGATTGTTCAACATACCCTACTTTGGTACCCTATCAAGTGACCTAGCCCGAAACCTGTGGGTTTTCAAACAATATTCAGATCTATATATTTCTCTGGACACTCGGCAGCAATGAAGACGGTCTGGGTCCTAAAACACGGGGATCGAAGTCAGGAGGAGAGAGACCCAAGGCAAACCTGTCAGATGTTTTAGTTGACATAATTCAGATTGGAGATCTAGGAATAGCTCAAAAGTTCCCTAACGACGGCGAAAGATGGTATGTGGCAGCCGCCATCTTGTTTGGAACTCGAAAAGAAGAAAAGCTGAATCCGTTTGCTCAGGTGGAACGCAGTGGGTAGCAGATTGGCTGGAAACCCGGGCACACACACACCCGTAAGTAGAACTGCTCAAGTGCACATTACTCTTCCGCTATACATTTAACCATTAACATAGTGCAGGAACAATTCACGAAAGCATGGGAGGCCATTCATAACTTGGAATCCATGCTTGCACTGGATGATACAGCTGGACGATTTGGATGGTGGACGAACTTGTATCAGATTGGAGTTGTAAGACTTTACAGAAGTTCACAGCCTTCTACTGTTACCATCCAGGCTGATTAGGACTCACTCTACTGCAGTTATTGGTCAGTCTCGTAACACAAAACATGTACGACAAACCGCCAGAGGGCACAATGCAAACGATTTCGGGATTGCTGGAAAATGATTTCGATGTCTTCACGGTAAGTAAGCCACATTACTACGGAGGGCCTCCTCGCCGCTCGTATGATGGACTCGAGCTGGAGAAACCGCCAGGGAGTCACCGTAAGATACTGAAATGCCCTCGTCATATCATAGTACGGAGGCATTGTCCTTGACCAATCATTCGATCATTACGACAGGGGCTTGCGCATGGCAATTGCTTGGATCATGGCGCATAAGCCGGCCGACCGACCTACGATGCTGCAGCTACAAGCAATTCTTATGACAAGGGTCGGCAGGAACTTTGACGAAGAGGGGAGGACCTCGATTCAAGAGCTCCTCACTAGCCCTCCACCACCGCCGTGCGTATCCCGGATCGCGGTTTCTGCATAGCTTGAATTTTTCAGTAGAGTTATATGCTATCCCGGAAACCCAATCGCGAATCAATACCAACCCCCCCTCCATCTCAAACAGAAATAGACAAGCACCCAAGGCAGGCTACTAACTGGTTACTAGGGCTGACCCTACTGTAATAAGACCCCCACCACCATTAGAAGATGTTGAGATGCGTGGTGTAAAACCCACTCGGCTCACTGGAAGAGGCGAAGGCGTATTAATAGGCGGCCATGATGCCCGACGAGGCGCTGTACGAAGAGGTACGGCCGGGTGGGTCGGCATGGCGAGCCTGCCGGGGCGGATTTTGAGACCTTGGCGCAATGCTCCCCGAAGACGCCCTGTGCAGAGGGGAACAGCCGCATGGTTCGGCATGACTAGTGTTCGAAGGCGGCTATTTGGAATTCAGCGCGCGATCGCAACACTCGTGCCGTGGTTCCTGGGAGGTGGTGCTGACGATGGCGATGACGCCCAACTGGCGGACAATATGGCGAGATTGAATGTCTGAATGATATGCAGGCTTCATCTACTTGTGATGCCAATCTTATTTTATAACTTATTATCCTTCAAGAGTTTTGGCCTGATGGAGCAGTGGAGAAATCTTGCTGTACTTGTGCGCCTGGGATGCACACTCGTTGTGCGGCTAGGGTGTGTCGACGTGTTCAGTTTTGATTTTGTTATTTCTCTCGGGAACTCTAATTTTGCTCTCTCCGGTTCCCTTTGTATTTCTTATTTGAATGGTCTGAACGTATGAGACGAGTGATCCGGATGGACGTGATGGGCAGAGTTTCCAGTCAAATATGAACCCCATTTCATGAGATATTACGGTTTTTAAGAAGAAATTGTGTCTCGACTTGAGGGTTTTTAGTTTATGAAGCGCTTATTACATAGAGCGAAGTCTAGACGTATCTTAAAGGAGTCTTCGATAGCGGTTTATCTGGTCTCGCCATTGTGTAAGAAATACTCTATCAACAACGCTGGTCCAGACCGGTTACCGGAAGAACGCCCGTTTCGCCTAATTAGCCGACAAAACTCGTATGGAGATCACCAATACCAACCACTGGAGTAAGTCATTTTGCGGTTTAGTTGGAAATGGAACCAGGGACGCGCCATTGCTCTCTTCCCTTTTTTTTTTAAAACATACTTTTGCATGTCTTATGTATAGATTAAGTTAACATGCTTTGAATAAAACGTGTGATCATTGAGTATATTCTCATGGTCATTATGTAGCTCGTCTTCCTACGGGGTCATTTGATGACGTTGTCAGTGAGTCTGTGTTACCGCGCCACTACCATCCCGAAGAACCAATCTGCAGAAGGATCTGTGGACAGTGCTCTAGTCTGCATTTGTTGTTCCGTCCCAGAAAAAAGAACTCGAATGCCATCACTCATCAGGAGCGCCCGTGGTTCTGTGAACCCCTAACGCCAACGCCTTGTTGACCATATGACTCTGCACTCAGACCAATCATAGAATTTAACTCTCCGAATTGTCCCCATAGGCGTTTGTCTCCGGTATACATCAGTGCATTATTTGATTTCCTGTTCTGAGAGGCGAGAATGAAAATCAAATCTGAAGATTTCATTCATTTTGAGCAGATATGACAGGGCTGGCACTAGTTTCCAATGCAATATTGTCTGGGTGCGGTGGTGAGTACGACTCATCATCCGTAAGCAACAGTGAATCGACGTCTGCCGCGTCGATGACTGTTGTCTGGCTCATTCCAGTATGGTGGACCGAATCATCTACACGTTGATCCACATCACCACCGCCAGTGACAACCGTGAAAGTCGTCCTTGGTACTGACACATCGTTCTCGTCTGTCTTATCTCCTGTCCCGCCTCCAGGGTCGAGGAGCCTCAGGCGAGTCTTTGCAAGGATCTTTGACAATGGCTTAGCGCCAGTTGATTCAGACGGCGTCAAAAATGCGTCGAGTTCGGTATTCCGCGTTGTACGTAAGAAAGTGGAAAACGATGTGTCGAACGTCTTCGAGCCAGCTCTGGCGATGAAGAAAAGGCCCTCGAGAACTACCAATGTTGTTGCAAATATTGAGCTGCAGTACGCGATGAGAAGATTGCTAGGTCTGTACAAATATGAGGACTGAGGTGTGAATATATGGAGAGGTCTTGCTGTGGCACTGCTCTTATTGTCGCTGTTATCGGGCACGATTAGGCTTTTTGAGGTGGAGGAAGCAAGAACAGGGGGCCATTGATGCTTATGCATGAGGAAAACTCACAGAAAATATGAGTCACTGAATAGACTCAAAGTGGCGTTGGTAAAGACCTGCTCTAGGGCGGCCACCATACTCATGTTGGCAATGGATAAGGGCTCTTCACTCGCAGAAATTCTGTGTAATTCCTGTGTCTGCATAAATATGGAGCTCATTCTTTGTGTTCGGGTGGCGGCGAAAGCTCCCTCATTGTCACCCCGATCAATCCGGCCGACAAGATACTAGCCTAGGGCCTGAAAGATAGAGATATAAATTATCTAGGGCTTCAGCCACAGTATATTTTTCCTTAACACTATATAACCAGTCGTTTCTTCCTTAACCTAAAGTTTATACATAAAGTCTTTAATAACTTTATGTATATCTTCATTATTCTTTTATAAAGAAACTTTAAATTCTTTTTTTTTAATTTTTATTATATTTTTTTGTATTATTAAAGAGTTAATAATTATTAATAATAAAAATATAAATTTAAAATAACTTACTTAATTATTATTAATAAATTAAATTATTTAATTAAAAAATTATAATAACTAATTTATTTTATTAATTATTTTAATAGTTTATAAGTTTATATTATTATATTCTTTATTTAAAGCTTATTAAAGTTTATTAGAATTATTTAAATAAGGAAGTAATTTTAAGATAATAGAATATTAAGTTATAATTAGTTAAAGGTAGCTTAATTATTTATTATTAAATTAGTATATAGTAAATAGAAGGTTTAAAAATCTTAAATAAAATAGAAGTTTAATATAATTATCTTAGTTTTTATTAGTTTAATTAAGTTTTTTAAATAAACCTTTATAATATTATAATTAATTAATTCTTTATATATTAAAAATAGACTACTAAAGTATATAAATAGCTTTAAAGGAATACTTTACCTAACTTTTATAGGAGGACTAATATATAGGTAGGTCTTAAGGAAAGAAAGTTTTAGAAAGAGGAATAAAGGATAAAAATTACCTAATAGAGAAAATTCTTAAGAATAAGAGAAAGAGAGTAGAGTTA